TGCCGCCGGGGCACGGGGAAGCGTTGGCTACCGAAGCCTTTGCTGCCAGCCACGCTGCGGGTTAAACAAACCAAAGGGCAATTTCGACTTGGTAATTAATGCTTTTTTTTTTTAGGTTTAACGTGTATTCTCTTGAAAACAGGCGGAGGAGCCTGGCTGGGGGACTGGGTGCTTTTCTAAAAAGGCAAGCGGGGGTTTTCGCTGCCGGTCTGATTGCACGCTCTCCGCTGACCAGGCAACAGAACCTTCGTTAGAGTCACATTTTTACATACTCGTTTCATTTACACTACAGAGACCATGACTAAGTGTATTCTGCAAAGCAGGGCATATGGTAAGATTAGTCACAGTGTGAATATTCATTCAGAGTAGTCGATATTGAGAGATCTTCAGCACAAATGTGTGAAGAATCCTGTTGGAACACAGCAAGGTTTGTAATGCTGGAGCTGGGTGAGGTCTTGCGAGCGCCTGTGCCTCTGCCCAGTTTCCCAGGCCACGGCCGAGCACCAGCGTCTGCAGCACCGGGGCTGTCGTGTATCCTTGAAATTGAAGAGTAACTTAAAAAGAGACGACTTCTGAAATCAGTGTGCGTTTTAATGAACTTAGCTTAACGAAGCTACGATTAGTTTCCGATGAAGTTCTAAGATCTTACAAAACTAACTCAAGCTCACGTTTGTGTTTTCAGAGGAAGAAAGAAGAATGTCACAAAAACACCTGAAAGAAGCCTTCGTCAGCAACTTAAATGGAACCAGTTTGCTGGAAATTTCAGTAGGCTTGTCTCTAGCTCCCCTCTGCCTGCTTTGCAGGGGACTCCTCTTGATTTTATATTATGTGCACTATGGGAAACCTTTACGTTCAAGGAAATACAACCTGCTGCTAGACTTCCTTGTGCTAGTATCTCCTCTCCTGTTCTCCTGTACAGTCTTGTCTCCAATCATCTTTTTCATGCCAGCTATCATTGCAGCCTTCTGTGCTGGAATATTTTGGAAAATATACAGCCAAAGAAAGCATGACACCAGAGTGCCTTTTAGGCAAATTGTAAAAGACTTCCAGGAGACATACTTGGATCCAGAATACATTCCAGCAATAACTGTGTTTCGCGTTTATGTCAGCGTGTTGACATCAATCAGCATTTTAGCGGTGGATTTCCCACAGTATCCAAGGCGATATGCCAAAACTGAGACCTATGGAACAGGAGTTATGGATTTTGGGGTTGGAGCTTTTATTTTTGGCAATGCTCTCGTTTGCCCTGAAGTTAGACAAAAGTCTTACGTGGCACAACCCAAATTTTCCAATCTGGCCAGGCAGTTGTTTTCCGTTTGGCCGTTGATTTTTCTTGGCGTTGGACGACTGCTTAGTGTTAAGTCTATAGAGTATCACGAACATACTTCAGAGTATGGCGTGCACTGGAATTTTTTCTTTACCTTGGCATTTGTGAGGCTTGCAGCATCTCTACTTTTGGCCATATTTCCAAAAAATAATTCTTGGATCGTTGCTATAAATCTCGCTGTACTTTATCAGCTTATTCTTAACACTACCTCTCTGAAGACGTTTATCTTGCACGGGAGCAACGGCAGAGACACTAGGGTTGGCTTTTTAAACGCCAACAGGGAAGGACTGCTCTCTCTCTTTGGATATCTAGCCATATATATGGCGAGCGTCCAAGTGGGACTCTGTCTGCTGAAGTGCAGAAACTCAGTCAAAGGCTGGATTGAAGCAGCGTGTCGCTCGCTGCTGACAGTTCTCGTGCTCTTCGTATTTCTTCACGTGTCGCAAGCGTATGCGGACCCTGTGTCCCGCCGGATGGCTAACCTATCCTACTGCATATGGGTGGTCGCTCACTGTCTGACTTTCTTTATCTTTTTTGTAGTGACTGATCTCACGTTGGTGTTCACAAAGCTGCTCGTGAAGGGCTCCAGCGTGCCCTGTTGCTGGAATGTTGTAAAGGCCCCTAATTCCAGCACAAAACGTGAGACAGAGGCCGTGCCTATCGGAAGGGAAGGCAAGCTGTCGCACATTTGCCTGATTAGTGCTATTAATAAAAATCAATTACTGTTTTTCTTGCTAGCAAATGTTATGACCGGTACTGTGAATATACTGATAGATACAATCCACAGCAAGACTGCATTTACATTATGTATACTACACTTGTATATGTTTTTTAACTGTTCAGTTATGTATATATTGCATGCCAAAAATATAGTATTAAAGTTTTGGTGAGTCCACTCTGTCTTAAGTGGACTAGTTGACCTTTGTTTGCTGTAGTCGAATGATGGTATTTTAATGGAAAAATTAGTATTTTTCCTGTCTGTATTGCAATAATTTATAATTTAGTATAGCTTTTTATGAGTTAGTGTTATTTTTTTTAATGGTTTATTTTACCAAATTATACCCTCAAGGCTGTTACCCGTTGGAGTCATTACACATTTTCCCAAAAACTTAGTTTTTGAGATTATAGGAGCAGCGGGAGCATTCAGCAAACAAACACTCATGCAGGGGAGTAGCACTGCATTTCCAGTTAGTGAACTGTGCTCGTACCCAAGTGCTGGTAGAATTAGATAATGTATAGAGTAGAAGCCAGATGAAAAGTAAGAAAATGAGTAATTAGAGAGACTTAGCTGTGTCAAGATTTATCTAGTTAAGGCCCTTGCATAAATAACAGATAAGAATAATTCTTTGTATAAAATGTATGGAATACTTAAAAAGTGTTTTGGCCCCAGTCCTGCAAAGATTTATGCATCTGCTTGACTTTGATGGCAGTAATTGTATGTGGAATGTTAATCATATACTGGAATCTAAATTAGCCTTTGAATTACAGCTAAATTTTATTTTCATCCTCGCTGATGAATATAAATGAAGGCCCTAGATAAAGTGGGATGCTCTGAAGGATAAAACTCAACTGCAGATGAATTCATAAAGCAGTTGTCGTAATTTGCGGTGCAGATAAGAGCAGCACAGCCTTTTACAAGAAAATACAAAGATGCAAAACTAATTCACCCCCAGCCTGCATACCAACATGTTGTGACAGTTCATCTTTAGGAACGCCGTAAAATACGGTCTTTGGCTCGACTTTGAAAGTACTCGAGGCCCACCTACTTGTCTATAAAATTATTTTAAACAGCAGCTCGTTTAGTAGTGTATTTTGACAGCTGAGATGTCTTCAAGTGGGAACATTCTGTATTCATTTTTATTAGCAAACAAACAGTGTGCAAATGGAAAAGAGCATGACGCAGTGGGTCAGGGTACCCGCAGAGCACTGACAAGAGATGTGCTCAGTTTCTCTGTCACAGTCTTCCTGCAAGCCCAGAGGAGAGCACCCTCTTTGTTCACTGTCCTAACTGTGACAGTTCTTCCTGACCTCATTAAGGTGTTGAGAAGATAAATACATTTAAAGATTGTGAGGAATTTGGTAATGGGAGATATAAATACTTGAGAAGTAGCACACAAATGGTAGTTGATGATAGATGCCTAATGTCAGTGGAGTTACGGCAGTGCAGATGGGCCATATTTCATATTTCTCCTTGTCTATCAAATGTGATGAATCATAAAACCTATGGAGATTAAGCCTCTAAATCAAGATTCTTTAAGGCAGACATGCTGTGGAATATTCTTAAATTTATGAGGTTCTCTTAGCCGTTTGCCAATGGAAAGGTAAAGTCTGAGGACTACAGGCTGTGGGCATGCTGATTTCATGCTTGTTTACTTCCAAGTTATAGCCATGTAGTCTTCAGAATTAAAGAAAAACAACCTGTGTTATCCCGGGGACAAATGCAATTAATTGGCAACGATGTCTTATAAGCAGTTGTCAGGGTTTATAGCAGAGTTTTCTGGTAACTGGTGTATGTATTTATTTTAAAACATTTCCTAGCCTTGCCTCGGGGAGAAAGGCCTCCCTCGTGAACTGAATGGCACTACTCGTTTATGCAAAATTACTCACGGATATTAATTTTTGAAATATTTGAAGCTCAAGACCTGCAATGAGTTCTGCCTGTGAGCACAAGTCTATCAGCGTGATTCAGAATTAAAGCATTAATTGGGTGTGACAAAGCGGAGTTGTGTCTGGACAAGCAGCAAACTATCTGGATGCCAACTCCCATTTCGTGAAGCAGAAATTACGTGGGAGGTCTGCTGTGTCTGCGCAGAGCCCTGTTATCTCCGCACAGGCAGCAGGGCGGCGGGTACCAATTCCAGGACCGGAGCTGCGGTTTGCAACAACAGACCCTGCAAACCGAGGGGACCGTGGCGCGCAAGCAACGACGAGAGCCAGAACCACCCGCTTCGCTCAACAACGGCGCGCTGCCGCATCGTGAGGCCGTCTCCCGCTTTTAAAGCCCTGTGAAGTAAGCCGTTCACCACTGAATTAATGAGAGACAATTAATTCTCGTTGCTTATTGTCGGTAATAAACGCGGCAAGCTCTGCCCTGCAGCAACCAGCATAGTTATTAATGCTGAATGTTTAGACTATGAATAGATACGGATAATTAACCGTGCCTCTGAAAGAACCGAGAAATGCAAGCAAGCGTGCTTTGATCGGAGCCTGTACGAGCAAACGGCACCGTAATGAGTTTGAAAAGATGCGAGAGAAGTTACCACGACGATGCTGCTGTAGACACTTTCACCTCGCATGCCTCTCGATAGCTGTTAGCTCAGTGGTTGGTAGGAACAAGAACGCCACGTTTCATTTCACTTTGGGGTGTGTTTAGACGAGTAAGCTTGTACAGATCAAAGATATATTTAAAAAAGAACCCAGAAACTTCATTTAGCTCTTACATAATTAGTAAAAGTTGCAGATATTTCAACTAGCAAGTCTAAAATGGCTCAACTATAGCATGCCACCGACTTCAATAATAATAGTAAAGCAGAGGACTGGGAAAACATAAATTGTTTTGCCTTTGCTGCCACAATTCCACCGAATGACCTTTTTATAGGGCTGCAGGATGGAAAAAAAGACGGTGGGAGAGTAGAGCTGATTACATTTATCCTTAACCTTGTTATTTGTTAAACATTAGTAGCTACTTACCAAATTTCCTTATTTTTTAAGGACAAACTCACTAGCATGCCTTCCTTTCCAGCCCAGTAGTGTCTCTTTTGAAGTCAAATGTTACCATGAAGATTTCAGGCGGTATCCTGTTTCAAAGCCACTATGTCCTAAAGAACAGGTATTTCTTCCAGCCCAATGAGGAGCATGCAAATGAACGGCACGAAGGGGCTGTCTGTCTTTTCACTGTTTTGTAGGCAACAAGCAAGCTGCGTGTTCTAGCAAGTTAAAAAAAAAAAAAAAAACCAAAACCTTTCCGTGGATAAAAATTTCATGAAACGTTACGGTGCTTTTCATACGTGGTTTCTCAGCGTGCACCCTGAGAATACAAAATTTGGGGTCTCTTAACTTAAGACACTCTCGCTGTTTTGTCGATGTGATCCAACCACGCTCTGGGAGCAGAGGGGCAGAAGCAATACAGAAGCCCACATGCTGAACGGACCCTGCGAAGACGACATACGCTCATCACGGTCCGGTGTGCTCACGGTACTTTAACGTGAGGAACTACCCCTTGTTACAAAATTCCAGCTTGCTTTTTAGCTGAAGAAGAAAACCATGAAAATACACAAACTGCAAACTGTGCAGCGATGTGGCTCTGCACAATGTTTCTGTTAGAGATGTTGCATGGTGAGTTCAAGTAAATTAACTCCTCCACTAAAGATGGTTTTTATGCAGAAACAAGAAAAAAAAAAAAATGCTGCTCCCTAATTGCCTCCCCTGCATGTTCTTGTGAGGGCTTTAGTATCTATATGCATAAATAACAAGAATGAACAGATCAACTGTATTATTTACTAGTTCAAGAAAGGCTATGGGGTTTTTTTTTTGGCTGCCTAAATTAAGCAGCCACAGGATTTCGAGTTGGTTGCACCAGGGCGCTGCAGAAGCCAACAGCCTTAAGTTAAGAGACCGTAAGTCCAATTAAAGCCTGCCTACCTGGCGTGCAATCAGGGCAGGGAAATCTGAGGCTGCACTTTGATGTTTGAGCTGCGTCTGGAGCGCGGGCGTTCGATGCATTTTTGTTGGCTCACGCTGCCCGTCGGTCCGCGCTCGGCCGCAGCCGGCGCAAAGCCTGCGCCAAGGCCGTTTCCACGCGCCGGGCCCGATACCGTCGAATCGTCCAGGTTGGAAAAGACCTTTAAAGTCGAGTCCAA